ATAATCTTTAGTTATTATTTTTTAAATCAGAACCAACAGTATACTAATAAGTTTAACTCAACAAATTCTAAAGATTTAAGAAAACTGAAAAAGAATTACAGCAATGTTTTGAACTAATTCCAAACAACTAAGTTTTGTTATAACCAACAAACTCAAAACATTGTTAACTAACAAACTCAACATTATTACAAGAAAACTAAGAAAAGTTACAAACACAACATTGCTAGAAGAGAAATAATTTCAATGTTATTTTTCTAAATTTTTTTGCATAAATTCTTGCTATTCAGGATAGTTTTAGATTGTTCTTGTTCAATTATTAAAAAAATTCTCCATTTTCTGTTGTAAGACAAAATAAACATTAATTAGAATAAGTCAAACGAAAATACAAAAGAAAATTTGATAAAGATTTTAAGAATATTTAGAGAGAGAGAGAGAGAGAGAGAGAGAGAGAGTACAATCACGAAAAGGGTGAAACAAACTTTCCTAATGTGTGGTTGTGCGGCGGCAGCGGGAGCTTAAGGAGCACATCCCGAGAGAGAAAAACAATAAATGAAAGTAGTATATGTAAAGAGTTTTTTTTTTAATCAGCTAACTAATTCAATTCAGTCCATTACTACTAAAATAATAATAAATTAGTAATTGTATCGGTTGGATTCGGTTTTGTGTGGGCTCAAATCAACCATCCGCTACTGTCCATTTAAACCCATATAAAGCTAGCATAGAGGAAGTTTTACCCCATACCCCTACACTTATACCTATACCCCTACATTAAAAAATTTTGGACCAAAATATCCTCGTATAAAAATTTATTATTTTTTAATTTTTTTTATATTTTTTTATTTGTTTACCGGAAGACTTTTTGGAAGTCTTCCGGTTCACATTTTTTTTAGTATGTTTACCGGAAGACTTTTTGGAAGTCTTCCGGTACATATTTTTTTCGTTTGTTTACCGGAAGACTTTTTGAAAGTCTTCCGGTTCATTTTTTTTTTAATTTGTAATTAAAATTTAAGATTTATTAATTTTATATAAAGACCAATTTAATAAATTTTTGAATATTATACTTAAAATATAAAAATTCTATAAATAGAGAATCATTTTCAGAATATTTTCTATTTACTATAATTATTAGAATACTAGGATTAAAATCATTTATTTTAAATGATCATAATAGTAGAATTTTCTCAAATATCTTATTAATCTTAAACATTAATAAATAAAATAAATTTAAATATAAGATATAAGTTTACATTATTCAATATATTTAATCAAATGAAAACATATGTGATAAATAAATAATGTATTTTAACTTAAAATGATCACAATAAGTTAACTTGCAAAATAATATAAGTAATAAATTAATAATGTATTTTATTTAAAATAATCACAATAATAAAATATGCAAATAATGTGTTTTATTTATAGGATTGATATAGTTTTATTGATTATTTAATTTTGAATACTACTATGAATATAGTATTTAATCTATACTTTAGAACTCACATAATTATAAATATAAAAAATATTGTTTTATTACCCATATTTTTATTTAATTAAAAAAAATAAGAATATAAATTTATTATTTGTTTTTCATTTTTGTTTGATCTTTTTAATTATTTCACTTTATTTAATATTTTTAATAAAATAAATAATATATTTTATTTAAAGTAAGCACAATATAAAATATGCAAAAAATTTATAAATAAAAAAAAGATCAAACGAAATTATAGTAAATAGAAAATATTCTATTTATAGTAAATTGGTCCTAGTATTCTAATAATTATAGTAATTATAGTAATTTTCGTTTTATTTATAGGACTGATATAGTTTTATTGATTATTTAATTTTGAATACTACTATGAATATAGTATTTAATCTATACTTTAGAACTCACATAATTATAAATATAAAAAATATTGTTTTATTACCCATATTTTTATTTAATTAAAAAAATAAGAATATAAATTTATTATTTGTTTTTCATTTTTGTTTGATCTTTTTAATTATTTCACTTTATTTAATATTTTTAATAAAATAAATAATATATTTTATTTAAAGTAAGCACAGTATAGAATATGCAAAAAATTTATAAATAAAAAAAAGATCAAATTACTATTTACTATAATTATTAGAATACTAGGACCAATTTACTATAAATAGAATATTTTCTATTTACTATAATTTCGTTTGATCTTTTTTTTATTTATAAATTTTTTGCATATTCTATACTGTGCTTACTTTAAATAAAATATATTATTTATTTTATTAAAAATATTAAATAAAGTGAAATAATTAAAAAGATCAAACAAAAATGAAAAACAAATAATAAATTTATATTCTTATTTTTTTTAATTAAATAAAAATATGGGTAATAAAACAATATTTTTTATATTTATAATTATGTGAGTTCTAAAGTATAGATTAAATACCATATTCATAGTAGTATTCAAAATTAAATAATCAATAAAAATATATCAGTCCTATAAATAAAACACATTATTTGCGTATTTTATTATTGTGATTATTTTAAATAAAATACATTATTAATTTATTACTTATATTATTTTGCAAGTTAACTTATTGTGATCATTTTAAGTTAAAATACATTATTTATTTATCACATATGTTTTCATTTGATTAAATATATTGAATAATATAAACTTATATCTTATATTTAAATTTATTTTATTTATTAATGTTTAAGATTAATAAGATATTTGAGAAAATTCTACTATTATGATCATTTAAAATAAATGATTTTAATCCTAGTATTCTAATAATTATAGTAAATAGAAAATATTCTGAAAATGATTCTCTATTTATAGAATTTTTATATTTTAAGTATAATATTCAAAAATTTATTAAATTGGTCTTTATATAAAATTAATAAATCTTAAATATTAATTACAAATTAAAAAAAAAAAATAAACCGGAAGACTTCCAAAAAGTCTTCCGGTAAACAAACGAAAAAAATATGTACCGGAAGACTTCCAAAAAGTCTTCCGGTAAACATACTAAAAAGTGAACCGGAAGACTTCCAAAAAGTCTTCCGGTAAACAAATAAAAAAATATAAAAAAAATTAAAAAATAATAAATTTTTATACGAGGATATTTTGGTCCAAAATTTTTTAATGTAGGGGTATAGGTATAAGTGTAGGGGTATGGGGTAAAACTTCCTAGCATAGATAATCCACAAACCCGAAAAAACTGGTTAAACTGATCCGTGCACATGCGGGCCTTGTGGGTCGCCGGTTTGGGCCGATTTTCTAAATTTTGTCCAGCCCTACCTTAAACCATTGAATTTAACTACTTTTCTGCGTTTTTGCAATATATACGGTATACCGTATATCCCATATTGTAATAAATGTGGTGTCATCATTTAAAAAAAAAAATGCATTTAGAGTAAAATGCAGAACTGGGTCTTGTAGAATATGAAAAAATACCGCTCCTTTATTGAAATGCACAAAACCCCAACAATAGTATCACATTTATAGAAAACTAGATCTCACACATGTGATTGTCACATTTATTGAAAATGCGCAGTTGTGACAATACATTTGAAAAATGTAGTGTGCATTGACATAAATGCACTAGTGGGGCATTACTTTTGAAAAATATAGCATGCATTGAGTCCACTAATGGTGGCATTGAAAAGATAAGCATCGATATAAAAATACAAAATGTGAGAAATATAACGTATATTAAATGCTGAAAGTTGAAGGGTTTGGAGGGAAAATGCTCAGATTTAGGATTAGGGTATGCATAATTACATCAAGACTTTACATAATTTTATAATAAGGAAAAATGTAGAAAAATCTAAAACGAATCTCCCCATTCTTAATGAATTTGTCCATAAAACAGGAATAAATTGTTTTGCATAATATATATATAATCAAAATATGGTAAAATTGCATTAAAAAGTTTTTTAAAAAATGCTTGTCAATTTCATTTTTTAATGCAAAATAAAAAAAGAGATATTTAATTACTACCAAAATGTGTAAAAGAGTAAACAAAAACTGTTGTGGACTTTTTACAAGTTTGGCAGGGGTGTAAGGTCTAAGTGTAAATATGCCCTTAGGCTACCGTGTACAGTTTTGAGAGAAAACATGGCCACTTGAAACACAGAAGTTGATCATCGTGCTTTACCCAATGCAACTAAACATATTAATGGTTCAGGAATTTACTTCAAGAATAGAAGTTGTGATCAGAACCTATAAAACTTGCTTTCAACAACCAATTTGCTTAACTTCCACAAATGATCTTACATATCTAGAAGTTGATTATTATCATTTCATTAGAGAAAAACATAAATATGTAGTAAACAAAATGCTTGAGATATGCTTCTACTTGAAAGTTGGATTGTAAATATAATGTTTGCATGATTAATTATAATTTTCAAAGTTTTAGTTATCAAGAGTAATGATCAAGAAAAGAAGTCAATGTTATACTGTACAAACAACAAACAAACATACCACAAGGGCAACTTTCTTTAACTTATCAAGTTAATTGAAGTGCATAAATACTCAAACTATAATATAGCATGAGTGATGTTTATAATGGTGACCAAAATCTAAACCAAAAACACATGCCCAGCGTCAACAAATAGACGCATTGGGCGTGAGCGCATGCTGTGCATAGTGAAACAAACTCTACGGCAAAAATAGACCATAATCATTTAAAAAAACCCAATCAACACTGTTGAGTTTTAACAGAAATAACCAGCTTAAGCTTTCATCACAACAAACTTTGAATTAATAGAATATCAGTAATGCAGAGATAATGGACAAACACATGGGGGGTATACAATCATAATTGTGTTGAGTTCAAAAAGAACAATGAAACTTTTATTATCACTGTATCTGTTGCTAGACTTTTACTATTCTTTGATAAACCAATAAGGCGTCTATTTAAGTCTTTGTATAGTTGGTTTTTATCATTATTTCTTACCTAGTGGTACATCAACCAAAAAAAATAGGGTCCCCAAACAACCTTTAGAGCTTAATTCAGCCTGACCTTCTGTAAAGTTTGTAAGCCACAGTAACAGCTGCCACGGCTCCAAGCACACCAACAACTGTGAGAACATTACTCTCCAATGTAGGCCAATTCTGGTTGTTTTGCCGTTTATAGCTGCAACAAGAAGCCCCACAAGCACTCCGGCAATATCTGCTATCCTTTTCTTTCTTCTTCTTACTGGCCCTTGTTGCTCCAGGAGCCCCCATTTGGCCCCTACAACAAAATAAAAAAGTTTAACTAATACACCTCCATAATAAGGGAGGTGCCAAAAATGCAGCAGTTACATTATGGGGACTAAATGGCATCATAGATGACGTACTCCTAAATGAAAGTGCTTAATAGTTTTTTCCTTTTCTAAGAGAGTAATAAGATGGCGATCTTATTTGTACTTCGAATAAGAGACAAATTCCCAATTGGTTACATCAGCACAACAAACACGGCAAAAAAAATATTTAAACTCAATTCAATATCAAATCAGAATGCAGGTTTGTTAAGGACAGAAGAGGAGAAAGAGAGAAAAAAGAACAACCCAAAAACTTGAAAATCATCCATAGTAAATGCTAAAACAGGAAATATGGATGGGGCAGTCTTTGATGATCTAAACACTCCTCAAAAGTATCTCAAACCATGATCTTTTTTATAAGTCTACACCATAGTTCAGTAACAAACCAGTGAATACTTTTTTTATAATCTAAAAGATCACACACTGCATATGTTACTTTTGTCTTTACAAACAATGTGTCCCTAAAGTTTAATTTCATTTAAAGATAAAAAATGCATAACCACAAAAATACCAACCTCCAAAGTTGGTGTATGACCTCTCCTTTAGCAATGTGTTGGTCCAACAAATCAGGAACATCATTAGGAGTAACATAACCGTACCTATAAACAGTTGTTACGCGGTACAATTAAACTAGCAGCAATGAAATGTTTCAAATTTTGGGGATGCAACCATGCAGAGCTTACCAGTGACCAGTAGTTTTCCCGTCAGGTCCTGGACTGAATATTATTACATTCCCAGCATATTTGTGCCCCCCAATGTGAGAACAAGCAGTAACAGTTATCTGATCCTTCAGACCTCGAAGCTCAATTTCCTTATTAAACTTCTTGATGAGAGCTGGCCCACAAGTACCACATCTAGCATCACGACTTCCATGAGCACATACATAAACATATGAACCGGTAAAATTCTCCGTCGCTCCAAAAGACCATGGTTTGCCATCCACCATAACATCTTTAAAAAAGAACCCAACCATTGGGTCCAGCACACCCCTTTCAATTAAAGAAAAGAAAATTGGACTCGGAAACAACAGAAAATTCTCAACATAAAAAACCCTCATTCATCAAAGAAGAGCAAGTTTAACAAAAGCATCACTTCAACTAAATATCAGTTTGAGTAGGTTTAAAAGTTCCACATACACAAGCATCACTTCAACTAAATATCAGTTTGAGTAGGTTTAAAAGTTCCACATACACAGAAATATCATCATTTAAAGAAAGAAAAACACGAGAAAACTCTTCACAGGAAGAAATAAAACCTTGCAACTCCATAAAATCTCAAAAGTATAAAAAATACAATCTTCGGAATTTTATTATGAAGCATAAGATAGACACGGACGCCGAGACATAAATAATTTGAGAAAATAGAAGTGATTGAACTTGTTGGTTTTGTACAAGTATCAAACAAACCTTCAACCAGAAGTTTTGTTGCTGCGTAAATCGTAACACTCTCTGATATGCTATCAAAGAAAATCATTTAACTCAAATACATACCTAAGTATTTGGTTGAAGCTACAGTCCACTAATTGTAACAATATTAAGTATTATGAACCATTTGCACATTCATACACAACTCAGAAAACCGGTAAATCATCCACAGAATCTGATAACAACTACTCACTCATAATAGATTGAATTCAAGTTAAATTCAACATATATTTTACCATCAATACACTGAAGTAATTTGTACTACCATATAAAATACACTGAAATAATCCAAACAATGAAATGTCATTTCATTTCATCTCATTCCGCTCCGATCCATCCGATTCCATAAATCCAAACAAATATAGGGTGTTTTGCTCAACGGTTGACACAAATATTCGCAAGAAAGTGAAGCTAAGAATATAACATTCTCATGTTTGGTACAGATTTATAAAAATTGTTTCCAGTAATAAGATCTATAGAAAAGTTAATCGATCTATTGAATAAAATTTGAAAATGCAAGACACGCTGAGAAAAAGATTGAATAAACGGAACCCTAGGAAACAATGGCGACATTTCTGGTTTACCTATACTTAATCATATCAGGGAAAATGAAAACGTCACCGTTGGAGAAGCCGTCTTCCTCACGCGCTTCGCACACAGTGAATTTGGTCTGCAAAGAATGAAAGAAAACGAAATTAGAACGGAATAAGCAAAGAGAAAACCAAATCACTTCAATTTCAAGAAACGAACCTTAGCAGGGATGTCTTTCTGACGGCATTTTAACGTGGAGTCGAAGATTGCAGGGAGGTGATGGGTGTCGAATTCCTCGAGATTTGAAGGCCAGGAAAGGGGGTCTTCGTAGCAGAGGAAAATGTGGCGATCGTAGGCGTCGACGGTTCCCGCGAGATTCTTAGAGTACATCTCAGAGCGAGTGAAACCATTGTCGGCGGAAGGGTTATCGGAAGCCATTGAAATCAAGAACGAGAGAGCGTTGAAAGCTTAAAGGAAAATAGAATGAAATCAAGAACGAGAGAGCGTTGAAAGCTTAAAGGAAAATAGAATGAAATCAAGAACGAGAGAGCGTTGAAAGTTTAAATGGAAATAGAAATGAGATTTTCGTTTATGGAGAATGTGATATACTATATATATATATATATATATTTTAATATCATTGACTTCACCAATGGCCACAAAATGGTTTAATTAATTAATTCACGCACTCCTCATGGCCTACTAGTTTTCTCAAAGTATATTAACTACCTCAACATAAGTTTACTTTTGAATTATACTATAAGATTAGATCATCTCCCATTGGAATTTGGAAGTTGTTTAGAAGTTTCTTAATATAAAAATATCTTAATGCCCATGCCTTTACATTTAATATTTATTGATTAATATTTTAAAAATTGAACATCATCACTCAGTTGAAATAAAATAAGATATATGATAAAATTATGATTCAGTCGTCGAATTTTATATGAATTAATTATATAAATAAAGTCGTTTTTAAAGATATGTAATGTAAACTATCACATAAAATTTTAAATTTATCACAATTAACTTATAATTAGATAGAACCTGTTAAAATATTTATAATAGTTAAAAATGATCTAATAAAGTTTCTATTTGTTTTTCTATAATTAACTATGACTAAATTTAAACAGGATCTCTAAACAAATTGAAACAACTTTGCCTAAAAAAAGTATGAGGTCAGTGTGTCTGCAATCAGTGCCCCACAGTTCCTAAAAAATATAAGGGCCTCATAATTTTTTGATATATTAACTAACATATTTTTATATATTATTTTAGTTTAAAGAAATATGTAGTTTTTAAATTTATAGAATAGACATGATAAAGAAGGGCGTGTGTTCTATTTTTGTTCTATTTTATATGTTATGTAATGAAAACATTTCTTTATATATTATATATATTTTCTTTCAATATTCTTGATTGATTAAATTTCTCTTATAATTATATGATAAGAAATGTTTGTCTATTCACCATTCTTCATCTTTGAGATTATTTTTTCTGATTTTTTTAACCGTATATAATACTTTTTGTATTATAATTAAATATTTAAAGATCTATCTTAAAATTAACTCATTCATTATATTATTTTTTATAAAAATATATATTATCCTTCAAAAATGTATTATTGTTTTTTTTTTATAATTATGTTTAAAAGTTAAAATAGTATTATTATTTTTAATTAATTCATTACAATTATATAAATAACAATTTAATAAATTAAATTATTAAATTTAAATAATTTTTTCACAATCTAATTTAATCTTGTCTAACTTACTAATTTTAAAATTTTATAACATTTGCACTTACTTACCTTTCTTTCATATTATTATATTAACTCTTAATAAAATAAAATCTATAAATATATTTTAATAAGAGATATTAATATATTATTAAAAATATATATTAATAGGAATGAGTGTCAAAGTCTGAATATAAAATTCAGTCAGATCTTTAAGACATTGTTTTAAAATTTTAAAGCTTTCCTAATTCTATATCTATTTTTAATATGTAAAATTATAAATATCGTGAGTTGACACACGTTAAAATTAATTCCGCGGCAAAATTTTATAAATAGACAAATCCAATGAAAAAATTTACAAAAATAATACTTATACATACATGTTAAAATTAAATTCTAGTTGAAATATTTATTAATAATTATTTAATTTATAATATTATTTATAATTTAAAAAGATAATTCTCATTTTTATTTTTGATCGTACCTGATCAGAAGAGATTGCTAACTTTCTGCGCGTCGTCGACTGAAAGCTGCTCACTGGAGGTAGGGAGAAGGAGGTGGGTGTACATGCAAGACACTCTGATGCTTAAGTGAGTAAAGGACCAGAGTGTGAGCAAATACAGAAGTTAGGTGTAAAGAATGGAATACCTGACTCTCTAGTGAAAGAGTGTATTTATAGTGAGACCCCAGCGCAAGGCCAACGGTCACTTGGGTTAGGCTAGATTTCCAGGCCCAACCCAAGTGACTGTTAGGGCTTGTGTGGCGTAGTGAAGACCAGCATGTGGTATGCACCCTAGTTCAACTGTCTCGTGATCTCCGAAAGGTGGCCTGACCAGCTCTTTCGAAGGTGGCTAGTTGTCTGATGACGTGCCCCCGCAGGGGGAACACGTGGAGAATGTGTGGAAGACGCGTGGTTCTGCCCGACAGGGGGAAGTGTCTGCTCGGCATATCTAGATTTGTGCCCGACACGGGGGATTTAGGCCTTGTTGGGCCTTCCCCACATAATGTATGGGTTGGGCCTGCCCGACGGATGAGCAGGTCTGGGCCCACTCCAGAACAGGAGCCCCCCAAGTCGTAGCTCCGATTCAGAGGAATGATGACTTGATAGCAACCGTGTCGAGGACGAAGAAGGGAGAGGATAGAGCTCGTCGGACTATCATGTCGGGGACACAAGGAGGCGAGGGTCTTGAGCTCGTCGGGCTAACAAGTCGAGGAGGTGGAAGATTGTCGGACACCCGTTTTCCCGTGCTCGAGGGGGAAACGAAGGGACGTGACCATTTGTGGTGGCCACGTGTCTGACACTCATTGTTGCACTTAGGGCGGCTACCCTAGGGCGCTTCGAGTCTCGTGCTGCATTTATAAATAGGCAGGTGCCTGCCCTTTTATCACTTTTCGATCTCGCTCACTATCGTACATCATCTTCGAAACTTCCGTACACACACCGATGCGTAGCACAGCCACCGTATCGTCTGTCGCGAATTCCGCCGCCTCTCAACCTAGCCTACTGTACCAAGTAAGTTTTCTACTTCTTCTCTTCCGTTTTTCATATTTTCGGCATCCTATGTGGGGGTGTGATGAATGTCCCGAGAAGGATGTGGGTTTTCCGACGAATACGGCGGGATTCCCTTGACCTGGGATGAAGGCTCCGAGGTCACCTGAGGTATTAGGATGAATGTCCCGGGGACGGACGACAGGGTATGGATGAATACCTCGGGGATATAAGATAGTGTTAGATGAACGTCCCGGGGAGGGACGCTAGGTATAGATGAATGTCGCGGGGACGTGCATTGTCGCCGGATGGATACCCCGGGGACGTTTGTTGTTGGTGCGCGACCGTGTTATCATCAAGGAGGAGTCGTCACCGTCGTCTTCATCGCCCTTTCACTTAATTTGTGATGGGATGGTGAATTTGATCTTGAAACGTTGAATTCACTGTTTCCCTCTGCTTTTCAGGTGATCATGGTCGCGTGGGCAACAGGAGTCATGGAAGTTGACGTGGATCCAGAGTCCCCAGTGGCCCCGCCTGTCGAGGGGCAGGCCCGAGCTGTCAAGGACTGGGTCGCGGAGGAACCTCTAAACACGCCCTCCTGTTTCGTCGAGGACGACTCCGACACTTTTGCCACTATTGAGGACCGTTGTGAGGGCTCTTATGTGAGCTATCAAGCGTACCGGCCACAGGACCATCACCATATATGCTCGAGCTACGGGAAGATGAGGTTTCCCATGTACGCGTTTTGCTTCCGCGAGGCAGGTCTTCGGCTGCCCTTCACCGATTTCCAATTAGGCGTCTTCGGCTGGCTGAAGCTGGCACCCTCTCAGCTGCACCCCAACGCTATAGCCTTTATTTGGGTATATGAGTTTGCCTGCCGGTATTTGAAGATCGGGGTCACCCTTACCCTGTTCTTTCGACTTTTCCATCTGTAGAGGAAAAAAGTAGATGGGCGACAAGGATGAGTGTCGTTGAAGCAGCCGAGGAGGCTTTTCATGGCGTACATGGACTCTGTCAGGGATTTCAAAGAACGATATTTTATGGTCCAGCCTGTTTCTCTCGAGGCGTGCACCTCATTGTTCCGACGTGAAACCCGGGAGGTGAACGGGCAGAGGGAGGAAATCATGGTGTCGAGGGTACCTCTGGATTGGTCGGAGGAACACTTCAAGAGGGGAACAGGCCGATATATCGTGCGGGGGGGGGGGGAGGGACTTTGGACGAGGAGGACCAAGTAGGTTACTAGAGGAGGGTGTCTTTCGTGGCCAGTTTTACCTCGGCCAAGCTCGTTACGCCCGACAGAAACTTTATCCTCGACGGCCGAGGGAACATTCTTTAGCAAGTGAGGCTCATAAATACGAAGGCTCTGCTCGAGTGTTCGTCGGATGAGGAGGCTCTGCGTTTTCTAGGTAGAGGGCGGTGTTCTTCATGTCTCTTCTGTCCTTGGTTATCCTCATATTTGCTAATCTTTTGTTTTGTTTTGCAGGAAGCATGTCGACTATGCAAGAGCGCGTGAAGAAACCGGCGGCCTCCAGGGGCGCGACCAAGAGTGGAAAGGGAAGGGTCGCCTAGGTGATGCAGCAACCTCCTGTCGACCAGGGAGGAAAAGGCTCCCCGTATTTGCCCTAGGGGATTCATTCCCCTATGTCTCAAGGGTGCCCGAAGAGGGTGAGGGTTCACGGTGTAACAACCCAATTTTCATTAATTAATTATTTATATTACTTAAATGATTTAAGAGGATTGTTTGATTAATGTATGATTAATTAAATGAATTAATAGATGTTGGAAAGAATTAGAAGGTAAAGACATATAAAGGAAAAGTGGAGAGAAAGGAGAAAGATAGAAACATAAGAGAAAGAAAGAGGAAGAAGGAGAAAGAGGAGAAAAGAGAAGAAGAAGAAGGAAAAGTTGGAAAAGCTCAAGAACAACTCTCAAGCATCGATTTAATCGAGGTAAGGGTGTGAAATATCATTATCTTGTCAATGTATATGATTGTGTATGCTTGGGTTGGATTGTTGGATGTTTTTCTACAATTCCATTTTAGGGCAAATTGGATTTGATCGATAGAAACCGAGTTTTAACGGTAGAAAATGAGAATAAGTGGGAGAATTTAGTTGAGGAATGATAAGTTTAAGCTGCGGGAACGAGTCGGGACTGAATCGGGTGGATTTGGTGAGTTTCGGAGTTTTGGGACAGTAGGAATTCTGAGTTCGC